AATTCTGTGAAGGCTGAGAGAGGTGAGGAAGCTGCAGAAGAAAATGTGGACACCAGTAGAGGTTGGCTCATAAGGTTTGTGGAAAGAAGTTGTCTCCATAACATAAAAAAGTACAGTGAAGCAGCAAGTGCTGATGGAGAAGCTGCAGCAAGTCATCTAGAAGATCTAGCTACGATCATTGATGAAAGTGGTTACACTAAACAACAGATTTTCCATGTAAATGAAACAGTCTTATATTCAAAGATGCCATCTAGGACTTTCAGAACTACAAAGATGAAGTCAAGGCCTGGCTTCAAAGCTTCAAAGAACAGGCTGACTCTCTTGTCAGGGACTACCACAGCTGGTGACTTTTAAGCTGAAGCCAATGCTCATTTATCATGCCAAAAATTCTAGGGCTCTTAAGAATTATGCTAAATCTACTCTGCCTACACTCTATAAATGGAACAACAAAGCCTGGATGATAGCACATTTGTTCACAGCATGGTTTGCTGAATATTTTAAGCCCACTGTTGAGATCTACTGTATAGAAAAAACAAGATCCCTTTCAAAATATTATTGCTCATCGACAATGCATCTGCTCACCCAAAACCTCTGAGGAAGATGTACAAACAGATTATGTGATTTTCATCCCTGCTAATACGTCCATTCTGCAGCCCATGGATTAAGGAGTAATTTTATCTTTCAAGTCTTATTATTTAAGAAATACATTTTATAAGGCTATAGCTGCCATAGATAGTGATTCCTCTGATGGATCTGGGAAAAGTAAAATAAAAACCTTCCGGAGGCTGGGTGCAGTGGCTCACGCCTGTAATCCCAACACTTTGGGAGGCCGAGGTGGGTGGATCACCTGAGGTCAGGAATTTAAGATCAGTCTGGCCAACACGGTGAAACTCCATCTCTCCTAAAAATGCAAAAATTAGCCAGGCATGGTGGTGGGCACCTGTAATCCCAGCTACTCAGGAGGCTGAGGCAGGAGAATTGCTAGAACCCAGGAGGTGGAGGTTGCAGTGAGCCAAGATTGCTCCATTTTACTCCAGCCTGGGTGACAGAGTGAGACTCCATCTAAAAAAAAAAAAAATCTTCTGGAAACGATTCACCATTTTGGATGCCATTAAGAACATTCATGATTCATGGAAGGAGGTCAAAATATCAACATTAACAGGAGTTTGGAAGAAGTTGATTCCAACCCTCACGGATGACTTTGAGGGCTTCAAGATTTCAATGGAGGAAGTAACTGCAGACGTGGTGGAAACAGTAAGAGAACTAGAATTAAAAGTGGAGCCTGAAGATATAATTGAATTGCTGCAATCTCATGATAAAACTTAAATAGACAAGGAGTTGCTTCTTATGAATGAGCAAGGAAAGTGGTTTCTTGAGATGGAATCTACTCCAGGTAAAGGTGCCTTGAACATTGTTGAATTGACAACAAACATTTTAGAATATTACATAAACTTAGTTGACAAAGCAGTGGCAGGGTTTGAAAGGATTGACTCTAATTTTGAAAGAAGTTCTTCTAGGCTATCAAATGGTATCACATGCCACAGAGAACCCTTTTGTGAAAGGAAGAGTCTACCTATGTAGAAAACTGCATTGTTGTCGTATTTTAAGAAATTGTCACAGTCACCCCAACTTTCAGCAACCATCACCCTGATCAGTCAGCAGCCATCAACATCAAAGCAAGACTTTCCACCAGCAAAGAGTATGGCTCACTGAAGGCTCAGATGATCATTAGTGTTTTTTAGCATTAAAGTATTTCTAAATTAATGTATGTACATTGTTTTTTAAGACATAATGCCATCATACACTTAATAGACTACAGTATGGTATAAAACATAACTATTCTATGTACTGGGAAATCCAAAATTTGTGTCATTCACTTTAGGATCTTTATCGTGGTGGTCTGGAACCAAACTCACAATATCTCTGAAGTATGCCCGTACTTACTGAAAACAAGTTTTACAAAACAACACTAAAAGGCTTACCATATGCAATGTGTTCCAATATACTCTAGTCTAGGCTAGTCTATTTCATTTTTTTAATGCTGGTCACAAGCCATTAAAATAATGCTACCAACCACGAATGGGTTATGACCACAAATTTAAAAACACAAATGTATTCTAACCTCTTAGGTCCACAGCTAAGAAAGCTAAGATTCAGAGAGGTTAAATCCGCGGTCAAAAGGCTACTTCCTGACAGAATCAGGACTACCTCAGACCCAGGTAAATGATGACTGTTGTTACCAGTCTAATAATTGGGATTCACCTCAACTAACACCTCCTCTATAAGTCCTGATCAGAATTCACCTCTACCCATGACCCCTGCTGCCAACATTATTCGGGTTGCTGTTGTTTATGTCTTAGTTTTTTTAACACCCCCAGGCCTGCTGCCCTGATATCCCTGTGAACCTGGAGGCATGGTCTCAGGCTAAGTGGTCCCACAGCATTTTCTACATCACCAAACTGACCACTCTGTTCCTCTCCTCTACTCCTTCCTTGCCATGAACCACAGCATCCCCCAAGGTGGGCCAGGGGACTACCAGCCTTGAGAAAGCGATGAGCTTGCTAACTCAGCCAGAAGAAACCTGAAGGGCAAAGCTTAACACCACCTGAGTCCTGATATACACATTCCAAAATTTGGAAGACCTTGAAGAAGGGGGCCATTCAGCCCTATCCAGGCAGAATTAATCCTTCAGGGGTCTAGGGAAAGGACCGCATTTAAAAACCAAAGGGCAGCCTCTCTCACTTGGCCTCCATATTGCAGATTAAAAGATGATGTGTCTGGAGAGTCGGCTTTATGATCAAGTTTCGCCTTACTAGGTGGTGCACCCTGGGAAAGGGACAGGAAGAAGCACAAAGTGTGGGGACAATGTAGCAAGCAGACCCCAAATGCCTCTTCCACCTTCCACCTTAGCAACCTGCACTCCCAGCCTTCCTAGAACTCTACCCCATGTCTTCACCTTGAGGTTTCAGCAGGCCCCAATCTCTGTGGCTGTCACAAAACCATGCAAATCAAACCCAACTCCAATCAGAAAAGCATCTATCCTCTGCTTCACCCTCAGAGGTCTCAGACGTGCATTCTACGTCTTCAAGCTAGGTTTCCACACAGCAGCTTGAATATGACTATTGTAAAATCATATGTTCCACGTCAATCACTTTAGGGCATTCCCAATGCTTCAAAAAAGAGAATCACTCTCTACACCACAGCTTCAGACAGGGCTTGGTAAACCACAGTTCATGGGCCAAATTGGGCCAGGTACCTGTTTTTATAAATAAAGTTTTATTGGAACACTGCCATGCCTATTTGTTTACCTATTGTCTGTGCTGGTTTTGTGCTACATGATAGAGTTGAGTAGCTGCAATAGAGACCAAATGGCCTGCAAAGTCTAAAGTATTTACTATCTGCCCCTGTACAGAAAAAGTGTGCCAACTCTTCACTTACAGAATCCTGCCTTTTTTTAATGGTGATAAAATACACATAACATAAAATTTACCATCTTAACTGCTTTGAAGTGTAGAGATCAGTGGTATTAATTACATTTGCATTGTTGTACAACCATCACCACCATCCATCTCCAGAATGTTTTCATCATCCCAAACGCAAAGTCTATACCCAATAAATAATAACTCCCCATTCTCCCTCCCCTCAGCCCTGGCATCCACTGTTCTACTTTCTGCCTCTTTGAATCTGTCTACTCTACGTATCTCATATTGGTGGAATTATGCAGTATTTGTCCTTATGTGTCTGGCACATTTTACTTAGCATGCTGTCTTCAAGGTTCACCCATGTTGTAGCATATACCAGAAGTTCCTCCCACGTCGGGCGTGGTGGCTCATGCCTGTAATCCCAGCACTTTGGGAGGCCAAGTCGGGCAGATCATTTGAGGTCAGGAGTTTGAAACCAGCCTGGCCAACATGGTGAAACCCTGTCTCTACTAAAAATACAAAAAATTAGCCAGGCATGGTGGCGCAGGCTTATAGTCCCAGCTACTCGGGAGGCTGAGGCAGGAGAATCACTTGAACCTGGGAGGCAGAGGTTGCAGTGAGCTGACATCGCACCACTGCACTCCAGCCTGGGCAACAGAGCGAGACTCTGTCTCAAAAATAAAGTAAGTTTCTTCCTTTTTAAGGCTAAATCATATTGCATTGTATGGATAGACCACATTGTGTTTACTCATTTGTCTACTGATGGACACAGGTTGTTTCTACTTTTTGGCTACTGTGAATAGCACAGCAACCTGCCCAATCCTCAAGTGTCACCCTACATCACACACCCGCTCTCTCCCTCAAAGGGGTCCTCTGTCAACTTCCCCAAGGTGTCCTGCTTCCTACCACCTTCAACTGAAATGAGCCGTGGATATAAAATACACATTCAATATCAAAGACTTTGTATTTTTAAAAATGCAAAATATCTCAGTAATGATATTTTACATTCATTCTATGTTAAAATATTATCATTTTGATATATTAGGTTGAATGACGTATTATGATAATTAATATCACTTGTTCCTTTTCATTCTTTTTAATGTGACTACTAGAAAGTTGAAGGTTAATATATGCCTCATATCCTATTTCTAGGAGCGGCACTAGGCTAGACTCTGCAGGGGTTGGCAAACGTTTTCAGTAAAAAGCCAGATGGTAAACATTTTCAGCTTTGTGGGCCATTCTCACTCTGCCATTGTCACACAAAAGCAGCCATAGGCAACACATAAAGGAATGATCATGGGTACGTTCCAATACCTTTTATTTACAAAATCAGGCCAGGTATCAGATTTAGCCCCTAGGCTATAGGATATTAATCGTATTTTTTAAATGGCCAATTCTGAGAAAGTCTGTTCTATTCATTTTCTCAGAACCCTCTGTGAAAAGCCATTTTTCATTCAGCCAGAGTCTGGAACACAAGTCTGTTCCCGGCTTCCCTGACCTGGGCAGCTCCTGAGACCACGGGGCAGTCCCCGCAGTCCGGGACTCGACAGCCCCAGGGCACCCACCGACCGCACTCACTTGGGCGTGTGGGCCTCGTCCACGCGGTGCCCCAGCTGGAACTCGTGGGATTTGCTCCGATGCAGCGCGGTGAACCCCGGGATCAAGTGTATCAGCTTTCGGGAGGAGGGTGGTGGGGTCCCCGGGGGCTTCAGCTTGTTCTTCTTCCTCATGGGCGGCGTGCCCGGCGGGGTCACGGTGGTGACGATGTTGGGGGTGCGCGGCGGGGTGCGGACCGCGTGCCGCTGCCGGGGCGATGGGGGCAGGGAACGGTGGCCCGACTCCAGGGGCGGGGGCGGGCACAAGCCCGGGTAGGGGTCCACGGTAAGCCTGTCCACGTGAGTGTACACAGGGGCCCCGGGAGTGGGGCTGGTGTGACAATAGTGCTGGACGCACTTGGACTGGACCCTGGGGCTCTGGGAGAGATGGGTGCGGATCCACGGGGTGGGCTCCGGGGGGCACACGGGATTGTTCTCCTTCCCCGTCTCTGTCGTGGGCCACTGGATGGTCCAGTCTTGTTTGGAAAGGTTGCCTCCTAAGTTGGAACAGAAGAGCAGAGACAATGGGTAAGCCATGAGAAAGCCAGATGAGTTATACCACATACACCATTACATCATACACACATTACACCACGTGCCCATTACATCATATGCATGTTACACTATATACCTGTCACATCCTATGCATGTTATTTCATGTGCACATTACACCACGTGCCCATTACATCATATGCATGTTACACTATATACCTGTTACATCCTATGCATGTTATTTCATGTGCACATTACACCATGTGCCCATTACATCATATGCATGTTACGCTATATAACTGTTACATCGTATGTATAACATACGCTCATTATATCATATGCACATTAAATCACATGCATGTTACACTATATATCTGTTACACTGTATGCATGTTATATGTACATTATATCATATGCACATTACATCATATGCATGTCACATTATATGTACATTACATCATAAGCATACTATTTCATATGCCCATTACCTCTTATAGACATTCTATCAAATGCACGTTACATCATACTCACATTAGATCATAAGCACATTTACATAAATCCAACCACCCCTACTTGGCCTCTCCAAAAAGAGAATGAAATCCCTTTGTTGACCCTGTTACCCTATTCCCCATTCAACAGGCTTGTCTTCCACTGCCCCATAGCTGGAAAGACCCCACAGCCCAAATGCTCAGAAAAGCAAAGAAGTTAATTCTCGCCTTTTGAGCTTCCCAAGGTTCCAGTTCCGGCAGTTTCAAAGTGATTTAAAGGATTTTAAAGGATAACTTTTCCCTTACATGGACATTTTAATACCTAACCCTCACATGAGATACACAGATTCCAAGGAAGTCAAGTTCATCCTTCTCCCTGACCACTTCCTCGGCCACCGCATACTTCTTCCAGATCTATGTCACCATGTTCTCATTCATGCATTTGTCCAGTAAACATCCTGTGAGTGCCAACTATGCCCTTTGCTTGGAAAAGACACAAAAGTAACACAGACTAGACCCTGGTCCCTGGACTTACATTCTGCCAAAGCAGAGCCATGATAGACAAGAAAACATGCTCACTGAAGGATTTCACCCTTCTCCCGAAAGCTGATACACTTGATCCCGGGGTTCACCGCGCTGCATCGGAGCAAATCCCACGAGTTCCAGCTGGGGCACCGCGTGGATGAGGCCCACACGCCCAAGTGAGTGCGGTCGGTGGGTGCCCTGGGGCTGTCGAGTCCCGGACTGCGAGGGGCTGCCCCGTGGTCTCAGGAGCTGCCCAGGTCAGGGAAGCCGGGAACAGACTTGTGTTCCAGACTTGTGTTATTGGTGCTGGGAGGGAAATAAACAGAATGATGTGATAAAAACAATATGGGTGGCTGGGCACGGAGGCTCACACCTGTAGTTCCAGCAATTTGGGAGGCCGAAGTGGGTAGATCACTTGAGGTCAGGAGTTCAAGACCAGCCTGGCCAACATGGTGAAACCCCATCTCTACTAAAAATGCAAAAAATTAGCCAGGCATAGTGGCACACACCTGTAATCCCAGTTACTGGGGAGGCTGAGACAGGAGAATTGCTTCAACCCAGGAGGCAGAGATTACAGTGAGCCAAGATTGCATCACTGCACTCCAGCCCAGGCTACAGGCTCGCTCTAAAAAAAAAAAGAATATGAGTAACAGAATGGTTAACCATAGAGTGCTACATACAAACCACATGCTACACAGCTCAGCCAGGAGAAGGCACCAAGTGCCAATGCACACGAAAGCCTGGGCGAATGTCCAGAGAATTAGGCTGAGTAAAAAATGCCAATCCCCAAAGGTTACATACTATATGACTCCATTTATATAGTATTTTTGAAATGACAACATTTTTGAAACAGAGGATAGATTGATGGTTGCCAGGGGTTAGGGATGGCAGAAAAGTGGGTAGGAGAAAAATGGATGCGGGGATAGAAGAGCAATACAAGGGAACCTTGGAGTGCTGGAACTCTCCAGCATCTTGACTGTGGTAGATATACAAACCTACACAGGTGATCAGAGTACATAAAAGTAGGCCCGTGGTGCACAGAGACACAGCCATAAAAAAGGATGAATTCAAGTCATTTGTAGGGACATGGATGAAGCTGGAAACTATCATTCTCAGCAAACTATCACAAGGACAGAAAACCAAACACCACATGTTCTCTCACTCATAGGTGGGAATTGAACAACGAGATCATTTGGACACAGGGTAGGGGACATCACACACAGGGTCCTGCAGGGGGAGTGGGGGACTACGGGAGGGACAGCATTAGGAGAAATACCTAATGTAAATGATGAGTTGATGGGTGCAGCAAACCAACATGGCACAAGTTTACCTATGTATCAAACCTGCACGTTATGCACATGTACCCTAGAACTTAAAAGTATAATTAAAAAAAAAAAAACTAGGCCCATGGTGGTGGCTCTTGCCTGTAATCCCAGCGCTTTGGGAGGCCAGAGCCTCCAAAAGGGAGGAGGATCACTTGAGCCCAGCAGTTCAAGACCAGCCTGGGTGACATAGTAAAACCTTGTCTGTACAGAAAGTAAAAAAAAAAAAAATAGCCAGGCATGGTGGTGCACTCTGTGGTCTCAGCTACGTGGGAGGCTGAGGTGTGAGGATTGCTTGAGCCTCAGGAGGTTGAGGCTGCAGTTAGCCATGTTCATGCCATTGCACTCCAGCCTGGATGACAGAGTGAGACCCTGCCTTAAAAAGAAAAATACATAAAACTAAATAAACACACAGGCACAGGTGCACACAAACACATGAGTGAAAATAAAGCTGGGGAAATCTGAACAAGATGGTGGATTGTATCCATATCAATATTCTATGATATTGTATTGTAGAGTACAGTAGTACTATAGTTTTGCAAAATGTAACATTGGAAAGAAAAGTATACAAGGAATGTCTATATTATTTCTTACACCTGCATGTGAATCTACAATTATCTCAATCAAAAATTTCTGTTAAGAAATTAAAAATAAAATACAAGAATATGGGGGGCCTACTTTAGTAGAGTGATCAGGGAAGGCCTCCTAAGGAAGTGACATTCCTCCTGGCATGTGAAGGACAGGAAGCGGATGGTCACACCAAGCACCAAGGACAGAGCACACCAGACTGGGAAACAATAAGGGCTAAGGCCTAGAAGTAGGAAGGGCTTTTTTTTTTTTTTTTTTTTTTTTTTTAAGTCTTCCAATAGCTTGTTAGAAAGAAAAGACAGTTTTTTTAATCCCCACTGTTACGAATTCGAATTGAGGTTTTCATCCCTAGTATAAACTGAATTAAAAAGAGAGACAGAAATTTAAAAATCCAATGGTAGGCCGGGTGTGGTGGCTCACACCTGTAATCCCAGCACTTTGGGAGGTCAAGGCAGGTGGATCACCTGAGGTCAGGAGTTCGAGACCAGCCTGACCAACATGACGAAACTCCATCTCTACTAAAAATACAAAAAAAATTAGCTGGGCGTGGTGGTGTGCACCTGTAATCCCAGCTACTCAGGAGGCTGAGGTAATAAGAATCCCTTGAACTCAGGAGGCAGAGGTTGCAGTGAGACGAGATCACACCATTGCACTCCAACCTGGGCAACAAGAGTGAAACTCTGTCTCAAAAAAAAACAAATCTAATGGTGTATTAACATTTTTCATTCGTTTGCCATACTGACCAGTGCAAATACAAATTTGGTCTAAAGACACAGATTCTCATGCAACCATGTAAAGCCTTTCTGCATCCTCCACGCTAAGAGCTCTAAATGCATAAACATCCAATAATACCAAATGTACAGGCTTCAAAACCAGCTAAGTTAGGGCAGTCACTTTCCTAGGTCTCTTTCCTGGGTGCCTGCATGAAGGTGGTGTTCACAACCGTGTGATGACAATGGGGTGACCCTCAAGGAGAGGTTGAAGGGACAGGTGAGAACAGACTGCCAAGTCTGTGGGCTAAGGTGCAGACTGGCTTCTATACCAAGTCCAACAGGAAGCCATTGGGAGTTTTGAGGCAGGGGAGGCACGGATTGAATGTTCATTTCTCAAAGATCACTCAGGCTGCTGCAGGGAAAAGTAGAGCCTAATTAAGGGGTATCTCAGGGAGTTGCAAGAGATGATGCCAGCTCTGGCTTGGGTGGTGGCAACAAAGATGGAGAGAAGTTGGCCAGGTGTCAATGAAGGAAGAACCACCAGAACCCAGAGGAAGGTAAACACGTGGGCACTTCCACGATGGGCCGAGGAAGGAGATTTGGGGTGGAAAGAAATTCCTAGCTGACTAGCAATAACAATAATAATTACTATAACGACCGTAACAAGAGCTAATTTATAGCGCATTTGATGGCTTCCAGAGTGCTTTCATGAACACTGACTCACTGTTCCATTTTTAATTAAAACAACTCATTTTGTTATTATATATTCAGTACAGAAAAATTAGAAAATTGAGATAAGAGAAAAAGGCAATGCTGTTCTACAGCCTAGCCATCATCCCTATCAGTATCTGACGGTAGAGCCTTCCAGATGGTGTGGGGTGGATTTTTTTTTTTTTAAGGAAAAAAAAATTCCATAAGACCATATTTAATGGTTCATTGTCTGTTTTCTTCACTTGTTATATTGGGACTGTTTTACATCTAACTTAATTTTTGTAACTCTGTGTGCAAAGGGTCATTCTGATTTCCATTTTGTAGGTAAGGAAACTGATGCAAAGAGATGAAGATGTGCCTAAGGTCACAAGAGAGATGGTAACTGGCAGCCAGACTCAAACCCAAAACTTTGGCCACCTCAACAAGCAGGGCATGAGACTGTCTGTGGAAGAGAACTGGGGCCTCCATTTGCCATCAGAGATCATTCAAACGGGAAAAGATACTGAAACAAAGGCTCATTTCTCAAAAGGGTCTCCTTTTCCCTCCTCCCAGGCTTGCCAGAAGAACACTCTACCAAAGTCACCATCATTACAGTATCTACTCTCAAATATTGACACATACACATTAGCCCAGTGAGTAAGAGAGTCAACGCTGGAGT